CCCTTTTATTAAATTTATAAACTTTTAATTTGTGATAACTATAGTCTGGGTATTTAACTTAATATTTTTAATGATTTTAAATAATGTATTTTTTCGATATCATTGTATCCTATGGCAATAAAATTATTATTATTATTATTAAAGGCGGCAACCTTTATCCTATGTATGTTTAAGTATTTATTTATTTGCAAGAAAGTTTATCGTTACATATATCGCAAAATCAAAGGGCCAATCAGTACTATAGTACTGATTGGCCCTTTGATTTTGCGCCCCCCGAAATGATGGGCCTGCGTGCGTGCACGCACTGCCCGCTCGCCAGGAACGGCCCTGACTTTAGTAATCAATGATAACAAAGTACTAAATAAGTTTAAAAGTTTGCTTGATATTACATGTAATACACTGTGCGCATACCTGTTTATTTTTTGCTTGGATGAATAATATCATTGTTTTTAGAGGTAAAAACAATGATGATATATATATATATATATATATAGGATAGGTCAGTGACATCTAGTGGCTTCCTGGTTTTGTCAAAATAAATTTCATAATTGTTTTATTAAAAAACAGAAGCTCTAATGCAAAAATGATAGAGGAAAAACTTTCTTGTTTTGGCGTGTACTATCATCCCCCAAAGGATGACAATTTATTAGGTGACACCCTGTATATATGAGAAGCTACTTTTGATCAAATTATTATTTAGGATGTATAAATCTTGGATACACATATAATATTCAATCATAAAAAATTAAAATTTTTTTAAAAATGTAAAAATTAAAGAAATTCGAGACCCTTCATTTTGATAAATATCAAAATTTGATCAGCAAGTATGTAGTTCAGCTTAGGTAAAGACCTAACTGCTATTTTTGAAAAAGCAAAAACTGCTGTATACAGGGTGTCCCAGAACTCGCGCCACAGAGAAAAAGGGAACGTACCGAAAGTAATTTGAAACACATATTTAAAAATTCAAATTTTCCAACGCAAAGGATAAAGGGAGATAAGAATAAAAAACGATAGCCAATCCCAATAGATCACCACAGGGAATTCTTTAAATTGCTAGGATACTTAGGTTGCATTGTTAATCAATTGATAATAAAAAATATGTAAAATACTTGGTCCACTGGAATCCAATTCATTGTAAAACTGCTGTCAATCTTTACTCCTGTCATTAATATTATATTAGGTTATAAATTAAGTTATTATTGACAATGCTGTCAATCTTTACTTTTGTCATTAATATTGTATTAGGTAATAAATTAAGTTATTTATGGGGAGCGTGGGCGCAAAAAAAGCTAAATAAAGTACAACTGGTTTGATTTTTTACTTTAAAACATTGGCGTTCTGAAGTATCAGTCATAGATTAATAACCTAATTTTTTGAAAGCTTTTGACAACTTAGTAAATACAGTTGGCCAAAAGATTTTTAAATGTTTTTAAAAAAACAATGTTCTATCGTCTCCAGGGTTGCCAGTGCCAGTGCTTTTGTACTGAAATCAGTACTTTTCAAGGTTTGTCAGTACGTCAGTGCTACTTTTATAGTTTCAGTACTTTTTGCGAAATTTCCTTCCCAAAAAAACAAAATTGAATATAATCATTAGGGTGTGTCATTTTTAGGCGATATTTTTTTTTTCGCTGTTATACCAGAAAATCTAATACTTTATAGAAAATAAAAAATTATGCCGCCGGGTAAAAGGTTCTAAGTGCAATAGCGGCTTAGCTCATTTAAAAATTCAATTTCCCATTGAAATAACACAGAAAATTTTTTTTGTTCGTTTTAATTAGATTTTTCGCTGTAAAAAACTTTTTCCCTAAAAACTTTTTTATAGCTTTTGTAGGAAATTAAATTCTCTACAAAATCATCCCTTTCCTCGAAGACCGTATAACCAGTAGTTTCAGAGTTATAGCGCTGGAAATATAAACTTTTATAAAAATAGACCTCAAATTCCATTTTATTTTTAATCTATTACTTTTACATGATTTTGTAGAGAATTTAATTTCCTACAAAAGCTATAAAAAAGTTTTTAGGAAAAAAAGTTTTTAACAGCGAAAAATCTAATTAAAATGAACAAAAAAAATTTTCTGTGTTATTTCAATGGGAAATTGAATTTTTAAATGAGCTAAGCCGCTATTGCACTTAGAACCTTTTACCCGGCGGCATAATTTTTTATTTTCTATAAAGTATTAGATTTTCTGGTATAACAGCGAAAAAAAAAATGTCACCTAAAAATGACACACCCTAATAATCATACAATTTATTTGAAAGATTTGTGAAATCTTGGTTGCCTATTTTGGATGCTTCTGTCATTTTCTGTCGCTGCTGCCAACCCTTGCCTTACAGCGTTGCCGGCTGCGGTGTTGCTTGTTTTCTTGGGGTTTGTTCCATTCTTTCGTACCAAAGGTTTTGGTGTTGCCAACTTATCAAGTAGAGCGGTGGCGCCACAATTAAAAAGCGACCTGGCAACACAGCCTGGATTTGACAGTTAATGTTTTAAAACATTAATTAATTTAAAACTTAAAAGTGACGGTACCAGGTTCGATTCCCGGTCACAGCCTTGGGTGTTGTGCTTGTTTTTCGAGCATAAAAATATATAATAATGAGCTGGCTAAATAGTCGAAAAGATTAAAAGTCAATAAACCTTAAAAAAAAACAACTTAAAAGTGTATATAGGCTTAAAAGTAAAGAACTATCTAAATTAAATATTATATACATCTATATAGTATAATTTAGTTTATATAATATAATATAGTATAATTTAGTTTAGTGCGTTGCAGGCCGTTGTGTTTGTGATTATGTTTTAAGTACTATCGCTAACAAAAAAACTCATACAGCTATAATGTGGCTGTGTGAATAAAACTTTTCCGTCAATGTCAAGCTGACATCGAGCTTTGTCACATCCATTATGACTTTTTAACAACATTTTCAACCAAACAATGCAGACGAACTCTGGCAAGCCATTGAAGCCATTTGGAACGAGATAAAGCAAGACGGCGACTTCCATGCTTTGCCGTTTGGGGGCAGTAATTGACAAAAACAGAGGGATGACGAAATATTATTTTTTTTTCAAACTTCAACCTAACTTTGTATTTAATTTTAGACCTTTCAAATGTGACGTATCATGTTAAAAGCCATAATTACTCCAACGAAATGATAGAAAATCTGGAACACTAGATTTTTAAGCTGTATGAGTTTTTTTTGTTAGCAATAGTAGGTATATGGTATTGTTATGTATTTCTTATGCTTATTCTAACGGTCATTATGAACCCACACTGTGGGTGTTACCAGATTCTGTCAAAAAAGGACCGTACGTTTCGTTCGAATTTACCTTACTTACAAAATGACACCATGAAACAATACAAATAAATGCAATTATGTCAAGTTGATGTTATTTAATATTGTCCATTGAGTCATTTTTGTAATTAAGGTAAATTCGAACGAAACGTACGGTCTTTTTTTGACAGAATCTGGTAACTCTGGTAAATCATGCTTAACTGTGGGTCCCACAGTTAAGCATGATTTATAGATTGCCTTCCTTCCTTCCTCCCGTAGAAGATGAACAGTACAAAAACCGTTGTGCAGTTTAAAGATTTCTGTACTATAAATGGCACTACGATTTTTGTATTGTTCATCTTTTACGGGAGGAAGGAAGGAAGGAAGGCAATCTATAAATCAGGCTTAATACTTTAAGTATGTGGTTGCAACGCCCCCACCCGCCATTATGGGCGATGAACGTGTACTACAATAAGAAACGAGGTGTACGTCAAAATATTAACATCTTGTATTTTTTTTGAAAACAGTACTTTTTTATTAAAATCAGTACGTTTTTCATTCCAAATCAGTACGGAAATTTTTCGTGGTCTGGCAACGCTGATCGTCTCCTAGCAATTTTTAAAGCTCCTACGTTTAACCTAGGCGAGATGTCTCGGTCAGGGGGGTGAAACTCATATAGGAATATGCGCAACAAGCGATAGGAATATGCGCAACAAGCGCCTCCCGAGCATCTTTTTTAATAATTATTTTAATTGTCAGTTTTGACATCTGTCAACAATAGAAAGAATATTGATAACGGTAAAGATCTATTTCTAAGCTTTTAAGTATTTTTTGAGTTTTTTCATCTGTATTGCTTTCCCTTGAAGTTACAGTAAGTATATGTATATGTATACAATAAATCAGTTGCTTTTATAATGTATACAATAAATCAGTTGCTTTTATAATGTTTTTTTTGGAGATTGACATACCTATTAAATAATTAATTTGGGTGTAATTTATTACGATTAGTTTTTTTTGCAAAAACCAATACTACTAAATATTATTGGGACATTTGCTTTAATGGGGACTATTGTTGTTTGAAAGTAATTTCCTGCGTACTGATGTCCCTGGTGGAAGAAGATATTGAAATTTTTACTATTGTAAAAAAATGTAATGCATTAATGGACATCAAAATTTTTTTAATACATGAATGTTTTTTTTAGGGCCAAAACCGATGCAGGAGGGAAGTTTTATACCTTCTTTCACTTCTGAACCCATTCAAAATATAGATGCACTGTTTGTATATTCTTTAATTTATTTTATTGTTAAAATTAGTGTATTATAACCATTTACTTTTTAAAATAAATAAATCTTTGCAACTATTTTATTTTATTGGTCAAATTTAAATAAATTAATATTATAATTATTAATATATACAAAATAGATCAAGCCGGCCCTGTATTATAAAAGTTAATAAAATATTTGGAGTACGGCCCTAATTGGCAGGCGTTTATGACGTTTGTGTTTCTTAAGTTTAACACAGTGGTCGCCCTTCTTATATTCTTTTTCTATGGTCTCGGTATTGGCAGCCGCTTTTTTGCTCTCATTCGATTACACTATTACCTAGAAATTTTTTATTTTTAAATTTGGCATCTCCATTGCTATCGGCACGCCCCCTTTTTCTCTGTGGCGCGAGTTCTGGGACACCCTGTATATATATATTTTTTTAAGTTATAATCTATAATCTTTGTTTTCAGAGTGTAAATTCGCATGGAGTAGTTGGAAGCATAGACGATTTGGATGAACAATGTTCGGTGTGTCTGAAGACAACCTGTAAAACATTAAATGGTATATACACGCGGCCAGACTTACCGGAGGGTTATTCCCTAGTAACCCAGATTCCTGAGGGAGCCTGCAAAATTCACGTGCAACAACTTAAACATACCAGAAACTTCTTGGGTAAGAATATGAACATACTTATATTATATATAAGTTATATATAAGATGATAAAGTCAGTTCTTTTTATGCTTTTTATATTTTAAACTTTGGAGAGGATTTTAAACCATTTGAACCGGTTTAAAGGTATAAAGGCGCGTCTTAGCATCGATCTGAATGTTACGTTTTTTCCTCGTAGTTTATTTTTAGTACCTACGTACATTTCCTACAAGATAATTTTGCAATGGATGGCATTAAATGCGCCATAAATAAGTGCGAATTACTGTAGAGGCAAAATTTCATACTGCAGATGACAAATTGAGCCTTAGAACTTGTCTAGTCGAGTCGCGGGGAAGCTAAATTAAATTAAGTCTCACTAACACCAACGCTAACACGGTATTACGTTGTTTAAACAACGCGCAAAAGTTATAAATTTATTAAAATAAACTTTTTTTATGCACAATTATGGAGATTTTCACAAGGTGTTTTAAGTTTTTTAGTCGAGTAGTTAATAATACTGTTAAATATTTATTGAAATAAATAAAGAATTCAACCAGTCCAAAGGAAAATCAAAGTATGTTTAGTATAAAATAAAAGTATATTATGTATCAAGTTTGATAAACGCCATTTTAGTCACGAATTTAATTTAGACACGAGCGAGCTTGCGAGCGATTGCTTAATTAAGTAAGTGCAAAGAAAAGTTTATAAACGAGTTTCATACTATACTTTTTCTACGACAAATACTTAATATTAATATTTGTATAAAGCAACATCTATACGAATATAAAGTAACCATCTCAATAAACATTTTAGACGTAATTTTCACCATTAACATTTCCCGTTAACGCGTTATTATTTTAATTAAACTTAACAATTATTGAGGAATCATTTTTCAAAAGGTCTTATTTCCATTTGCAACAATTTTTCAAAAAAATGACTATAACCTGTATAGGTTAGGGCAATATAGATTATTTAAAAAAAATTCTGATGAATATTTAATAATACTTCAGACCTGCTGTCATATTTCGCCGTTAATATATGCCTTTTAACCTTATATAAGACCGTGCTTTTAACCATACCTTTGGGATTTTGTCAAAAAATTACATTCAAGTAAAAATGGAAATAAGGCCTTTTGAAAAATCACTCCTCAATTATTGATACTTTAAAATATTAAACTAACTTTGTACAGTTGTACAGTTGTATTTATTGGAATTTTTAACTTGATTCCCAAGTTAAAAATTCGGCGTTAAAATATCAAATTTTTCTGTGTAAATCAAAATTTCTTCCTTAAAAATAGACTAACAATTTATATAGAAGCAGTTTTTCACAGTAAAAAAAAAGATAATGTTTTATGGGCACTGTACAGTTAAATCTAGTTAACTGCACAACTAGGTCGAAATCAAAAAGTCAGTGCAAACGTTCATATAATCTTTTCAAATATTGGCGTCAAGAAACTATTTAATACTTTTGTATTTTTGTATTGAGATATTAAAATAATGTTTACATTTAGTATTATTTTACAAGAAAGGCACTTTATTTTAACTATTGTATAACATTTGAGAACTGTCAACTACCTTAAAACTAACTTTAGCCCGTGACTAAAAACCTGTTGCTAACTTCAGCCCGTGACTAAAACGCCGTAAAGCCACAGCTTGTCAATATGTATTTAAAAGGTCACTAGTGATCGTTTCCACGACACTAAGCTAGTGTCGTGGGAGTAGAAAATATATCATTAAATAGCTGCTCTCAGAACAATGACTGGTCTGATATACTAGCAAAATATTACAATATTACAACGTTTTGCTTAAATACAATTTGTATGGCGCCGCGGATCACGTGTTGTCGCGATAGTGTTCTTATTGGCTAACGTGGATTTAGTGGGTTGTGAAAAATATTAACGCAATTTTTAAATATATTTGGCAAACTATTCCAATGCACACATTGATAGGGAAATTAAGTAGGAATATTTTAATGCATATATCTCATTTTTCATTAAAAACGGATTTAAGGGGATTATAAGGTAAGTTTTATAAACTAATAATCCTAACTACGTTAATAAAAATTTATTAGAAATTAAAATTTATTTTAATTTAATCGAAGCGAATTAACTCTCTAAAAATGAATTAGTCAAATATGAGTAAGTAGTTTTCAAAGTAAAAAAGCAGTCACTCATAACTGTAGTCCACATGTGGACTACAGTTATGAGTGACTTGCTGCAGCAATTTGTATCTCGGACATTTAACAGCCAATTCTTATGTAAAATTGTCCCCTGAATTTGAAAAATATGGAAAACTGACTATATCACAAAAACTGTTCTACTTTAATAACGACATTTTCGGATTCAGCAGACAATTTTACATAGGAATTGACTGCTAAATGTCCGGGATACAAATTGCTGTTGCCGAGAATTATTATTGGCTGCTTTTTCGCTATGACAATTAGTCATTTTTGACTAATTCATTTTTAGAGAAGGTTTTTGCTTGGGTTGGCGCAGAAAAGTGATGACCTAGGTACATGTAGTTCTCCGATTGCGTTCAATCTATATATATATATATACTATAGTAAACACGGCCAATGTTTTTCATTGCGTAATGAATTTAAAATGTCAAAAACCTGTTTTTCGATATACGTATAGTCCAAGCGTTTTTCGACATACGTAGAATCGGTCCGGCGAATGTTATGTAACGAGTAAGGGATCCACGCGTGTATTGTGGGTGTCCTGATTATCAGGCGTCATTTTGAGTAAGAAGTATACTTTGCATTGTTTTTTTTAATAAATGCCCCATGGTTTTACCTGTATTAATGTTGTACAATTGTTAAGAAACAGATTCTCCTGACAAAATACTGTATGCAACTGCCCCGATGACTGTAAACCCTAACCACGTGGGGACAATTTATTAACAGAAACCATTTAAGTGGAAAAAAATATTTATATTATAAATATGTTTTTCTACCTAACTCTTTTCTATTACTAAATTGTCCTCACTTGGTTACAATATATACATACCGTACCTTCATTTGCAAGCTAACCATAGGGAAAATACATTGTAACTGGACCAGATAAGTCTTAGTCAGCACGAAGCGAAAAACGTTGTAGAAATGATTTGGACGCGTGGACGAGTAGGCTAGCATGCTCCGTAACAGTTGACCTTGCTTCATACGATCGATGCTTTATTATTGCTTTTTATTTTGTGCGGTGTAAATCTGGTAAAATTTGTTTTAGTACGCATGTCTCGACGACGCATCCAAATCATTTCTGAAAAGGTTCTCGCTTTGTGTTGACTGCGACTTATCTGGTCCAGTTACAATGTATTTTCCCTATGGTTAGCTTGCAAATGAAGGTACGGTATATATTATATACACTCACCGGCCACTAGGGATGGCAATTGCTGGATCCCTCATCCCTCAGCAAATAATTAACTTTCCAAATAATGGCGCAAAAGTCTACGTTGACAGCGTTGCCGCTTTTCTAGGTGCTCTAACGCCCAAACATCCTCGGCGGGAGCGACCTTAACGTTCTGTCACCCCTTTCTACACCACACTTTTCGCTCTCGCTTAATGAAGTTTCATGCTAAATAAGTGTCTTCTTGGCACCGCTGTGTCCCGAGTTGTTTGTTGTGAGAATTGTGAGTAATTTGACTAAATTTTAATTTTAATTTATTTATAAGCATAATATTTCATTATAGTACTTACATTGGGAACAAAAAAAAACTACAAAACTTGTAATAATAATAATTATTATAAAAAATAATAAGGATAATAATTATTATCTTACAATCTTTACATTATTTTTTTAAATATTTTAGTAGACATCAGTTCTAGGTTCTACAAATATTTAATTGTCCTGTAGATATAATTCATATTATGGAGTTTTAAAGAGGATAAATGTACTAAAAATTGAAATATACAATATAGTGCAATATTTTTCTTTATAAAAGTTTTTCAGTGCTGTAAAATAATATGTATTATTAATTAATTAATTTATTTATTTAGGTTTACATATAAAACTGCTTCTATATCAATTGTTGGTCTATTTTTAAGGGAGAAATTTTGATTTACACAATAAATTGCCAGATACAACGTTTTGCATAAATAAAATTTGTATGATATATCAAACCCCACTAAATATACGTTATTTATATTCAAAATCCATTAATCCAATATCCTTTAAATGCCACCAACTTCATTTTTATTTTCAATTTGTGAGTTTATTATTATTAAACGATTTTGTTGCATTTCTGTGGGTAAAAGGCAAGTCAAAAAAAGCAATTTTTCAATATATTTATGTTAAGCGGGAATACGCTTTTGTAAGCATATGACATGTGCTAACAAAAGGGTATACCCGCTAACCATAAAAATGTTTCCTGAATTAAAGCGAATACTTTACTGAAAAAAGCTTTTTTTACTTATCCCCTTATGCCTTTTACCCACAGATTTGTTACAATTTGATAACCAGTTACTCTAAAAATTGTACAAAACAGTTAGTAACCGAAACAATTTTCCTGCATTTTTGCAAATTTCACTAAAGTGTATTTACGGGATTTTCATACTTTAATTTCAATTATTTAAATCTGACGTTTACATTGAAAGTCAATTATAGCGGGAAAAAATATCAAGGGAAATGTCTATGCTTATTCCTTCCTAGATTACAGCTGTTGATAGGGAAGAAATGCTATACAGGGGAAGGCATATTTTATCTAAATAAGGAGTAATGTTGTTATAGGGAAGAATGTATATCATTAATTATCAACAATCGCGAATGCAATCGGCGTATTATTAAACACTCGACAAAAACTAATATACTATAACAACGCTATATCATCCTATTTTTCCTACTTTTTCTAAATGTCACGATTATTTAAAATCAACCCAGGCAACATGCGTAAATGCACGTTTAATCACACCGGGCGGCGTATTGGCATTGTGTACTACGATACAGAGCCATAGTGTTCTGAATCGCAGTAAGGATTGACAAAATGAAACGCCACTAAGTACAATACAATCCATACTACGATTCAGCACATCTCCCAGTTTGTGATGTTCTGAATCATAGTAGAGAATGGTGTAGGGTATGCGCGACCGCAGCAGGCCATACTTTACTACGATTCAGAAAATAGTATTCTAATTTGAATTGGATAGCTTACCTACAAATACGCCTTATCAATAAAAAACAAATTATTATTTTTAATTGGAATTTATTTATTAATAAATATTAATAAAAACAAACTATTAACCCAAACGAAAAAAATCATTTCAAACTTATTAACAAAAAGATCGTTTTACCCAAAAATTTTGCAAGTATCAGATATAAACGTACCACAACGGATTTAAATAATATTTGAAATAGTTAATAGGCTTTTTTTCTACTTTTACATAAAACTTTTGCAAAAACATAAACATAAAATATATATATTTGTATACATAAATAAGAAATTTTATTTTATTGTATTGTATTGTATTATATTATATTATATTTTGTATTGTGTTGTTTTCTTTAATAGACACCAAATAAAAATACATAGATTATACTTGATATAAGTTATATTTTTTATTTTTTAAATATATAAAATCCTTTGCTTTTTTCTCTTATATTTAAGAAAGAAAAATAGAAACATGAGGGCATTAACTACTAAAATATTTATAAAAATCTATTAAGGATTGTCGATGATAAAGCCAAATAAAATTTTAGGGTAAAACGATCTTTAAGTTAATTAACTTGAAAAATCGATAATAAAAAATAAATATTGTCAGTGAGATTTTTGGTTGGGTCTGTTTCACTACTATGAATTAATTTCTAACATAACCTATAACTCTGGCTTATTACTTTATGCGTGCGGCACATAGCCAATATTTTCTGAATCGCAGTAAACTATGGCCTGCTGCATTCGCGCAAACACTTCAACATTCTCTACTATGATTCAGAACATCACAAACTGGGAGATGTGCTGAATCGTAGTATGGATTGTATTGTACTTAGTGGCGTTTAATTTTGTCAATCCTTACTGCGATTCAGAACACTATGGCTCTGTATCGTAGTACACAATGCCAATACGCCACCGGGCGCACGGCTTGAATCTTAAAAAATAAATGCTCCTTGCGGTGTTAAACATTATACAAATTATACCTACCTCATGAATAAAAATTTAAAGACCGAAATGTAAAGGATTTAAGAAAACATTAACCGTGAAATCCGGATGCATCTTGGCGCAAGCAATATTTTTCACCATGCATTTACGGTGAATGTTATCCAGGAACGTTAACAATCCCAATAATGTAGAATATCAAAAAAAAAATGTTTTTTTTTCCATTATAAATGACCATTTGTGACAATAAATTGCTGCAATAAATTCACGTAATCGTTTAACTAAATATGGAATAATTTGATAATTTGATAGAAAATGGCAATTAGGGTTATTTGTATCCCATTAAAATTGCACCTTAACAAAAATAAACTTCCTGATTTACGAGGAATGCGTAAGTTAGATACGCTATTAATTTTGGCACCGAAACATAATTTTTCACGCAACACAATCACGTTTATTTTCGTATGTTCATTCACTAAAAACATTATTTTCATTTTATGTAAATATTATTACATGTGGATTTTTAAATGGTTAAATGTTTTACATATTCATTAAAGATTTATGCAAATAAATCATTATCTTAATTAAACTAATACGCCTAATGTTAATGTTACTATTTATTAAATAGATATTAAATGTGAAAGGCCATATACATTAAATATCAATATTTAACAATTAAACCTAATTGATTTTGCCATAAACTAATAGTTTAATAGAAATAATGTCTTGGAACTAAACTACATAATTTTAATCCTTTTTAGCATTAAGAAGCCATAATGACTCATATACCTTCAATGGCGACTGGAAACCCAGTCACTCAAGACATTTTGAAGCAGCTGGAACGAGATTTAGCTATACAAAACAAGATAGCAACTCCTTGGAAACCCTATCAGCTTCTGGTCCTTTGGTTAATTCCGTCGACATCCTTGTGGTTAACTTCCAGGCAAATCCAGGAATTAAGTATAGCTATTCCATACCAGATAGTGAGTTACCGAAAATTGCACCACCATTGATGAAGAGGCCCTACGATGGAGGTGTGGAGTCCAGAAGACTGGACTCCAGTTTTAATTCGCTGAATCAGAAGGATGAAGCTGCTACGCCGATGTTACACAGGAGGAATAGATTAAGGAAGAAGTTCAAATGGAGTATATCATATTCGCCTTGTCCGAAAACGTGTGGGGGAGGTAGGGTATCCTAATAATAACCACTTTAAAGGAAATTTAAATGTTTTTCTTCAGGTTTAAGAAATCCAATTTTGACTTGCGTGAGAAACAATTATCCAGTGGTGGAAAGAAGATGTTCTCACTTAGAGAAACCTGTTGTTCATCCTATACAATGCAACAATGAACCTTGTCCTTCTGTAGCACATTGGGCAGGTTATTGGAGTCAATGCAGTGTAACATGTGGAGAAGGTTTGTTACAAAACAATAATTTAAAAATGAAACCCACAAGAAATCTTTCTTAGGTACTGAAGATTATATTTCCGAATGCCGACAAGACGTTGGCTCAGGACGAAGTGTAGTAGTCAGTGAAACACTATGTCCCAAAAGACCTATAAAAGAAACAAGAACTTGCGTGCGAGCCTCATGTGAAAACGATGCGGACAATAAAGTATTAAGTGACGATGAACCAAAATACAGAAGTACTAGAAGAGAGCAGTGGAGTATAGGAATCTGGTCTGCAGTAAGTACAATCACATTCCAAAATTATAACATTTTTACTATTTATATCTTTAGTGCTCTGTTAGTTGTGGAACTGGCCATAGAACTCGTTCCATAACATGCCTTAGCGGTTTATGTCGCCCAGCTGATAGACCCTTGCATGCTGAATACTGCGATATGGGTTTATGTCCAGATAATATACCATCAAGATCATTAATACGTCATGAAACAACAAGTAAAAATGGTCATCATAAATGGTTGATATCGGATTGGTCGCAATGTTCTGAGGACTGCGGTACTGGGAGCCAAAATAGGATGGCAATTTGTCCAGATAATGATTGTGAGGATAGTAGTAAGCCTGAGTTGACAAGGAGTTGTTCTAATGAGAAGCAATGCGGTGGGCAATGGTTTACAGGTTAGAAAAACGTTTTAAAAAGTAAAATCAGAATATTCAATTAGACAATTTAGGTCCCTGGGGTTCCTGTAGTAATTCTTGCATTGGGCCAGCAAAGCAAAAACGTGATGTTTACTGTGTTGTCAAATTAAGAGGGCAACCTCATATCACCAATGATATGACCTGTTCATTGCATTTAAAACCTTATTCGGAACAAGCTTGTTCTGGAAGTTGCCCTACACAATGGTTTACTGGGGATTGGGGTACATGTGAGGGACCATGTCCAACAGGTAACTTGTTCATGCAAATTGGACTAAGAATATTTGAAAATCACTATAAAAATGTCATATATTACTACGAGTTTTTTAGGTACTCAACGAAGAAAAGTGTCTTGTTTGGAGCCTAATGGTTACTTAGCCAACAATTGCCCAAACGAAGACATACCGATATCAAAACGACCATGCGCATGTCAGGTCCAAAGGGACGAAAACCGTGACAGATATAGACCTGCGCAAGACGCACCATCTGATCGTAAGTACCCCACATAGCACCCTTGTGGAACTTTATTTTTTGTATTTTTTTTAGAAAATTGTGTGGATAAAATCAATAAATGTCACTTGGCGGTAAGGGCAAGGTTGTGTAAGTACCCTTACTATACAAGCCAATGCTGCGTGTCCTGCAAAATTGCGCAGCAGGACCTGCTGGTTTAAATCTGTGATTGGAAGTTTTTAAGTAGTCAAAATAAATTAATAAACTATTACTAAGATATGGTGACTGTTTTGGGGCAAATTCACGGTGGAGATCATTTTCTATCGAAAGTAGAGTCGCAAATATTAGGAAACACTTTTTTGTATAATTATTAATTTGATCGCACCGTGAAATGTCCAAAGACAAATTTAGTGTACTGAATAGGCGAAAAAAATAAAAAATAGCAATTAAATACTATTAGCAAATCCTGTAAAAGTGTATGTAAAATAGTGTATGAATGTTTTTATATAACAACTCTCTAAGTACAGTAGACAAAAAATCAATTTGACCATTAGTTAAATAAAAAAAGAAGCATGTTTTGCGTTACCTTATTTATTTATAATTATAATTAATTAGTAAATAATCTAAAAATTAATTTATTTAAGTAGTTATATCATCACAAAAAAATACTCTTTTTATTATTAGTTGACTGTGATTGTTCTATATTAATTAAGGCTAATACACACTAGACAAACCCGAGTTTGTGGAATGAGAATGCACCCTTATTTTTATTATATTATAATTTATGGAGAACAAGTGTGCGAGACTACTTCTATTACTTATATAGTACTTTTGCTTAAAAAAGGCACTGCCAAAATTATTAATTAGGTTTTATTACGTGGGACACATTTTAATTTATTAATTCCTATTTTATATTCCACAAAAATTATTTTTCATTTCGCGCCCATAGCGTTACCTTGCCAAATGTATATTCTGAATATACAGGGTGATTTTTATACTTTTATGATAAGTTACCATTGTAAAAATATTTTTGTTTGTTTTATTTATTTTGTCATTAATCTGTTGTATGTAAATATGTAATGAAATATAAGATCGCCCTGTATATTGTTTTGTTAAATTTAATAACAACACATTGTAAATCTCTAAGCTAGTTTTACGAAATTAAGTATTACTTTTAGCTTGTATCTATTTATTAGAGTAAACATTATTCAATAAATGTTTCAAATCATTAAAATGTCTTATTTTATATTGAAAAAATAAAATTAAAAATAGAATATTCTAAATTTCTATTTTTACATAGAGCACCGTAGAAAAAATATTGGTATCTAGAATTTTCCAATGTGTAATTTTATATAATGCGAATAAAAATTTGTTTTTCTTACTACCTCGACTCAAAATACGTTGTTTCGTCCCCGATTCCACGGCAGAAAGTTTACGTTTGATGCATTGATCAAGCTATACGCGCACACTCTAATAGCGGGAGTAAAAATTTTTTAGTCGTGTGCTTAACATTCAAATTTCGTACTGCCAACATGAGAAACACAAAAATATGACAGTTTTAAACCATAATTTTGCAATTATAACAACAAATAAACAATTTATGTTTTTACTTTTTTACTTTTTATGTTGTTTTAAGTGTTTAATGGTACTTTTATTTGTAATAAAGTAGTAATTTGTTAATTAAAATACAACGTTTTATTTTTACTGTATTGGCACCGCTGAATTCACGGCCTACTGTTATTTATTTATCAAGCTCTTCAAATGGAGATAGGTACATAAATACACATTTAATTTTTTCCCGTATTTTCGGCCGGGTTGTATTTTCGGCCTTCGCCTCGGGCATCATGGCGCGCAGTGCAAGAATCTCACACTTTCTGCCCTTGTAGTGTAATATACTATTTTGCACTCTAAGGTAGTCAAGAGTACATTTTTATCGATATCGGTACTTTCTTTCCCGTATAGTCAGTGTACACACAAGTGTGCTTTTATCGCTACTTTATTTTTCAACTCATTTTATTCTTTATGTTTTTTAGAGATGTGGTTTTGTAAACTACGCCTTTCATTTGCTTTAAAGTCACAGTACACACAAGAGTAAATTTTTCTTGCTACTTGATTTTGCTCTTTTTGTTTTCTGTTTATGTGAGAAGTCACACAACTCAAAAGAGCAAGTTTTTATGTTTATTTCTACTTTCTTTTTTAACACATTTTGTATGTTTTCCAATAACCTATCTTTGTATTGATTTACTATAAGATGTCGTATAGTCACTGTACACCCAAGAGGAAGTTTTTAAATTTATCGCTACCTTATTTTCCAACTCATTTTGTTCTTTATGTTTGTTATAGACATGGATTTGTAAATCGCGTTTTTTACTGTATTAACGTCACAGTACACACAAAAATGAGTTTTTATGTTAATTTTTACTTTATTTCCTAATTTATTTTGTTCTTTATATTTTCTGTAGATGTGGATTTTTAAACTATGTCCTTCATTCGTTCTGAAGTCACAGTATACATAAGATAAATTTTTTATTTGTATTGTGGTGCTTTTTATTCTAAATCTGATGTATTATTATTATTTCCTAATTTATTTTGTTCTTTATATTTTCTGTAGATGTGGATTTTTAAACTATGTCCTTCATTCGTTCTGAAGTCACAGTATACATAAGATAAATTTTGTATTCGTATTGTGGTGCTTTTTATTCTAAATCTGATGTATACCCAATGTGCAATGGCCAATGGGCATTGCCCATTCTCTTTTATCATATGCTGGGCTACTTCGTATTTTGGTTCGTTAAAAAAGCAGTCTATGTATCCGCTGTATTTACTGTAACAAAACAAAGTTTTAATTTTTTGCATTTATTTTTTTTGTATAAATTTTTATTAAGGGGTTACATACAGTTAGAATTTTCAAAACACCGAATTTTTTTTTATTTTATTTTCTTAATGTACATATATTTAAGAATACACACAGAAAATTTCATATCGTTCCGGTGAATATTTTCAAAGTTACACACAAATTTGAAAAGGCGTTTCAGAGTGCTTGGAAGTACAAGGCCGGAGAGGCAGCGACTACCCTTTTATGCACCTGCCTTGTAAATGCTCCCTTCTAATGTATTTAGATGTGTAAATCAACAGTGTGAACAGGGTGTATTATATTGGTCTGTAATAGACGACTCCATGTAATTTAAAAAATAAAAAATTGTATTCCATGTAAACTGCATTCCAAACTTTAAACGCGTTTTTCTCTGAATGGTGTTTTCAAAGTCGGTGACCAACATTACTCGAAAACGGCTAAACCGATTAGTCTCAAATTTTAACACGAGCTTCTTAAATATATTTTTTAGTAATTAATCGAAGATTTTTTCTCTCCGATAAATATTTTTGTTTTTATAAACAATTTAAGGCCGAAATTTCGGTGAAAAATCGATTTTTTTTTTTGAGAAACCGCCATTTTGTCAAAAAATTTTATTTTGCTTATTCCTTCGATTAATTACTAGATTAAACATTACTTTAACGAAATCTGTTTGGTTTTTTAAATTCAGATGATCCAGTTCAGAGTTATAGTGGTCACCGCAAAACGTCTTTTTTGAGAGGAGCATCCGGAGATCAGCTGTAGCTCTTTTCCAAATAAATATTTTTACTAGTACTAAGTCTTAAAATATAGTTAAAAGATACCATAATATGTGTATAAATTTTTGGATCAATAAATTTAAAAGTTTTCTCAGAAAAACTTCTGAAAAATTCACTTTTTTTCGGCCTTCTAACTGTATATAACCCCTTAAAAATATTAACCTAACTAAAATATTGATAATATGTGTGAATAAAAATAATGCTAAAAAACTAATGCTTAACTATGAGTATAAGTATAAGAACGTATACGTATACGTATCCCGCCACTGCACAGCTTTATCTGTGTTTGGTGGATCCGAATTTTCACCCCGGCAGGTCATCTTCCCAAGGAGGTCGTGGATGACAGTGTCGATGGTTAAGGCCAATCTCGGAATTTTGTCGCCGGGCCGACCATACGCCCGATTTAGGCTAGTGGAGTGTAGGACAACTAGTGAACAACAGTAACAACAATAACAATGACTCGTTATTGTTATTGACTCATTGTTCCAGCGGAAAGGCAGTCGCTAATGGTTAGACAAATTTTACCGAATGCAGCAGTCATTATTGGGTTTGGTTTTTTTAGGATAGTTTTTGTTTACTCACCTAAGCAATCATTGTGACTTATTATAATTATCTAATTTAACTTTTTGAGTAGTAGAATAGCTATTTATTGAAAACGACTATTCGATGTGTTTACGTTTTCTTTTCTTATTTAACAATTAAGAAATTGTATTTAGTGCTTCTACCATTTGTTTATTTATATACTTGAGAAGTAGAGAAGCAGTTTGTTTATTTAAGGCAAAGATTAGAACATGGTTTGCTTACTTACATAAGATTTATGTGTTTATTAAGTACTACTTGTCACGTCCTATACGGCAAAGAGTATCTAGTTTTAAGTCGAACTGCCTGTGCATACAGTATCTTTGGTATATTTAATGTAGGGTTCGTTAACCCTGTTCAACTCTTTTATTTTTTCTTCTTGATTTCTACGGATTTATCCCACAATTAGCGACGTGCAAATATTAAAAAAAATATCGCCTTGTCCCTTGTTATTGGTCTCTTCCAGGTTCCTGCAGCGATGAACCACCTGTTCAGGTGGGTGGTTCAGTGACTCCGACAGGTGGGGTGGCAATTCACTTCACACTTTTAAACTTTTAGAAATTAAGATTTTAAAATGCACTGATTAAGCACTGTATACTTATTTATAATTCAAAGCGGAGAAACTAGCACGTCTTGCTCCTACGTAGGAGCGATGATTTTGTACTGCTAAAACACTAGATTGCATACAGTGAGTGATGCTGCAGACAAGGATGAAAAATTATACTTTGATTACACTGTAGGAAGGAGAAAATATCACAGCTAAACGCTTGGACACGTAAACTTAATTTTTGGTCGTAGATTACAAATCCGTGCTTGGGTTAGTGCATCGGGACAAAATTCAAAGATATTGAAAACATCCCGTATAAATTTAAACACCCTGTATAAATTTAAAAAAAAATCAATTTTCCTGTGAAAAAAATCGAAAAAACACAATGCCAAGTACTTAATATTTTTTAACAAAATGCATTTGTTCAGGTGCAAAAATCCTCGTCTTCGACTCGGACTTTTGTTGCCACCAGCACTCATGCTTCTTGTTAAAATATTACTTGGCAACGTGTTTTTACGATTTTTTTCGAAAAAATTAGATAGCCTTATGATATT